AGAATTATAGTGGCGGTCTAAAACATAAAATTTTATTCATATATCTTTCTCTAAATCATCCTTTTGATTTCAAGTTTATATCCTATCAAATTGAACTCAATTTTCAAAAAAAAAATTTCTGGCAACAAATATAACCTATAATAATCATATAAAATCATTTTAATGCATATCATAACATGGTTAAAAAATTAAAAAATTTTATCTTAGCTCCCAAATGTCCCATTGAACCACTTCCTTCGACCACAACATCACAATCTTCTTATAATTATCTAAGAAGAAATCAATAATATTCATGGAAGTAAAATTCAAAGCTGCATGTGAAGGAGATAAAGATGAATATCACTACTGTGTGTTCCGAGCAAAAAATTGACATGGTGGAAAGAATCTTTTCATAAAAAATAAATTTTTAGGAATATTTGTGTTCATCCTTAAAATCAGTTCAACGATACCAATAACCGATAAAGATAACAACTTTGAGGCTAACAGGACCCTGAAACTCCGCCCCGCTTTTTCTGGCTAGCTATGGATCTGTGCGAGAAGCAAAAAACCCTAGTCATGCATTCCTGGGAGCTAATGCGGCCAAACCTTGGAAACCTCAGCGTCCGATTCTTCACAGAGTAATCAACCAGATGCTTAGGATCATATTTTGTTACGGATTACTAACGTCGCTGAGCTTTGATTGGCTGAATTAGGGTTCTGGACAACATCCCCGAAGCGAGAGACATGTTCTACTTTCTCAAAGACTATAAGGATTCCCCTCACAACAATCAGAAGCTGAAGACTCATGCTCTTGTTGTCTTCAAGCTGGTCCGTTGGTTTGCGCTTTTTTTCTCTTTCACCCACACTTGATTTTCTTTTCTTCACTGGATTACAGACTCGTTCTTCCGGTCTTTCTGTGCGACAGACATGCAATTCAGCAGTTCGGTTTCAAGAGAAGGGTGATATTGCCCTCTCTGAGGATGCCCTAAAGAAGCTAGGATCCATTCATTTGAAGAAAAATGTAAAGGATTCTCACTTTGAGGTGCTCTGTGTGTACTTTGAGTTGTTTTGGCTTAGCATCAACAATCTTTATTATGGATTATGACGCCAACTTTTTGTATAAATGACATTAAGGTGATGAAGGGGGCTCTACTGAAGATTGTCCATGAGGGAGTCGGTGAGCAATGGAGCGATGAATTGGGCAAGGCATGGGGAGTTGCTTATGACAGACTGGCAGAAGCTATCAAGATTAAGATGAATGAATAGAAGAGGATTTGAGCTCTTGTAGTGTTTTTCAAATGAAGGAAACCATGTGTCACTAGTTTGTCTGTAAGTACGATTTAATCAAGGCAAGTTGTTGTTTTATATGTTTGGAATGGTTTTCATCAGTTTTATGTTATTCGACAGTACTAATCTTGTTCCAAGTTTGGCTTTTT